GAGGGGCCGGTGTTTGCCGGAGAGCGGGGCGCTGCCGCCCCAGGCCGCCTGGCGGGGGGGAGAGGGGGATCAGGAAAGGCGGGGGGACGGGGGCCAGCCCGGGGGTGCCAAGGGGACGGCTGTGTCCCCCCCGTCACCCACATCCACGTGGAACCAGAGGCCGTGGCGCCGGCAGACGTCGGCGATGCTGCCCAGCGGGTCGAAGGCACCCAGGACGGTGGTGCCGCAGGTGGCGGAGACAAAGAAAGGTTTGGCACCCTGGGAGGGGACACCGGGATGAGATAAGGGACATCGGGATGGGGCAGGGACATGGGGATGGGGCAGGGACATCGGGATGGGGTACGGGATATCAGGATGGGGCAGGGGATATTGGGATGGGATAAGGGACATCGGGATGGGGAAAGGGACATCAGGATGGGGTAAGGGAAATTGGGATGGGGCAGGGACATCAGGATGGGATAAGGGACATCGGGATGGGGTAAGGGACATCAGGATGGGGAAAGGGACATCAGGATGGGGTAGGGGATATTGGGATGGGGTAAGGGACATTGGGATGGGGCAGGGACATCAGGATGGGATAAGGGACATCGGGATGGGGTAAGGGGACATCAGGATGGGATGGGGACATCAGGATGGGGAAAGGGACATCAAGATGGGGAAAAGGACATCGGGATGGGGTAAGGGACATCAGGATGGGGTAAGGGACATGGGGATGGGGTAAGGGGACATCAGGATGGGATGGGGACATCAGGATGGGGAAAGGGACATCAAGATGGGGAAAAGGACATCGGGATGGGGTAAGGGACATCAGGATGGGGTAAGGGACATGGGGATGGGGTAAGGGACAGCGGGATGGGGTAAGGGACATAGGAATGGGGTAAGGGGACATCAGGATGGGATAAGGGACATCGGGATGGGGTAAGGGACATAGGAATGGGGTAAGGGACATCGGGATGGGGTAAGGGACATCAGGATGGGGTAAGGGACAGCGGGATGGGGTAAGGGACATAGGAATGGGGTAAGGGACATCAGGATGGGGTAAGGGACATCGGGATGGGGTAAGGGACATAGGAATGGGGTAAGGGACATCGGGATGGGGTAAGGGACATCAGGATGGGATAAGGGACATCGGGATGGGGTAAGGGACATCAGGATGGGATAAGGGACATCGGGATGGGGTAAGGG